TGGCAGTTACGCTGAAATCCCTGATTTGGGAAAATGGGGAATTAAAGAAACACATTTTGAAAATGAACTTTTGGAGTGTCCAGAAAAGCGCTATATAAGTGTAAGCAATTATTATTATTACAGCTTGAGATACCTGAGTTCTTTATTCACTGGCTGAGCTTTGGCAAAAGGATAATAAATGAGAGGCAAACAGGAGAAGCAAATAATTATGAACAATAACCCAACAAGTTAGCTCCCAGCATACAAGATATGCCAGTTACAAAACAGGACATTTTAAAGGCCCTGGAGGCCCCAAACTGAATGGGAAGCAGAGACTAAAATGAACTCATGAAATGAAGTTCAAGATATTCAAATTAGATTCGATTTGATTTAAATCCTATCAGACTAAAATACTTGCTATATCTTGTTTGATTTTTATCCTAGAATCTCAGGTGACAAGGTGGGCTTACACCCTAGAAGGGATGCCAGATGCCAGGCTCACACTGGATGTGGAGACAGCTAACCAAGCCAGCAGGACGTCAGGTGGTGTGAGGATGCCACTGTGTGGGATCAAGTGTAGGACCATGATGAGCTGTTTGTTTTCCTTTTCTCTTTGTTTTCTATTGATCGCTCACTTCCTGCCAGTCTTATCTGCACTCCAGAATCATAAACCCTTTTTGTGTGTTGATTGATGGGCACCTAGATAAACAATGAGATTCAACGCGGTACTGATTAGATTAAAAAAGCAAGAGTACCTTATGATAAAAAGAAAATCCAAAGAGACCCTGAATTTACATTCTTGAAGAGCTTTAGCAAAAGAGCTGGAAGTGATCACTTTTATTCATCTTTTCCTGGTACAAACCAGTTGTGTTAAATGGATTTCATTTAAGGGGCACTAGAAACCAGGAGAGTAAAATCTTTTTGTTTACTGGTATTGGCTCTATGGGGCTTTAAAGATCAAGACTGTGATCTATATCAACACTATCTTTAGCTTTATATTCAATCAAATTATTGTGATTTAATTATCTTGTAGTAAGCTACAGTACCTTGCTACTAATTATCTGTTGATAAAACAATCAAACAGATAAGATAGCGAAATCTTTCGTAGAACAAGGCTCTAACAGTCAACCACACTTTCAGCTGGAAGAAAGATCTGGAGTCTGGCACTGGCAATCCTTCGTATATGATGAATTTATATATATGAAAGATATTGAACAAATTCAGTGACTAAATTTAAGTGATTAAATGTAAGGGTGATTTTAGTATAATTTGAGTCAGCTCATACAAATAACAATATGTGATTCTATAATA